ACTCCAAGTATGCCCAGATCATGGACTTTCAAATCAAAGGCAAATCCCTCACAAAAGTACAGGTGCCCGAAACTAAAACAGCACTGGGTTCAGACTGTGAGTTTCAGCATCTGGGAAATCTTGCTTTGAGTACTATCACAGCTCTGAGCCTCTGCCTTCCTGCCTCTCAAATGGGAATAATAATAATAATAATAATAATAATAATGATAATAATAATAATGGCAATAAATGTAATGGCTCATGGGCAAGGGTCCAGGTCTTATTGTGAGGGTTAAATATGTATACGGTACTTAAGTAAGTACTGGACACCTTATAAGTCTTAACAATTGATAAAAACTTGAAAACAACCAGGTGTGGTGGACCATACCTATATTCCTAGTACTGAAGAGGTAGAGGAAAAAGAATCAGAAGTTCAAGGTCATCTTTGGTCACATAGTGAGTTCAAGGCCAGCTTGAGCTACATGAGACCCTGTCTAAAAAAGAAAAGACATACAACTTGGTGCTGAGGGGCAGGGATAGCCTAAGCGACCCAAGTCAGAGAGCCTCTATGAAACTCAGTGTCTTCATCTATGAACTGGGCTAATACCTACCCTGACCTGCCTACTTTCCAAGGGAAGCAACCAACAAATTCTAAAGCTCAGATCCTGGCACAATGGGGAAAACTCCAGAAAAGATGCCCAGTTCCGTGGACACCCCAGGAACATGTCAAATCTTCCCTGGAGTCTTCCCTTTGGATGCTTCAGGTCAATGCCTGTTCCCTGGGCACTAGCTGGGTTGTCAGAGCCTCCTACTGGTCCAGTGAAGGTATCTCCAGTGCTCCCTCCCAGAGCTGTGGGGGTATCTGTGTCGTGGGGGTTGTTGTTCTTAGATGAGGGCCTGAAGGGCAGGCTGGTCCTCCCTCTGGGATTGCCTAGGACCTACCTACTGGGTGATATGGGAATCACAACTGAGGGGTACCCCCTGGGCCTTTCTCAGACCAACAATAACCATGATCATTATGAACTGAGGTATACTAAATATCAGGCTGTACAGTGCTTCCTAAGCATTATAACTCCCCCTAATAACCTATAGATGACCACTATGATTATAATGCCTATTTTACATATAAGGAAACAGACTCAGAGAGGTTAAGTAACTCACCTAAAGTCACACAGCTGGAGGAGGTGGGCCAGTTTTGCTGTTCAGATCTGGCTGTCCCCTGAGTCCTGCTACCTCCTCACTTGGACCTAACTCAAAGAAATTGCTACCAGCATCCACTGAGGGGAAAGGGGAGCCATGGCTGTCTATAGTCAGTCATAACATGGGGACAGGTGGCTGAGAGGTTGTATCAGGAGCTGAGCTGTTTGCCCTTGTGGCTGTCCTTTGGCCAGCCCCTTCCCTCTGGGCCTGTCTCAGCTCCTCTGTGAAATGAGAGGGTTAGCCACATACCAGGGAGCTCTGCCTGACACTGATTCATCCCACACCCCACCTCCATCTCATTGGTAACCTTGTTTGAGCCAGGGGTCGTGGTGCACGCCTTTAATCCCAGCACTCGGGAAGCAGAGCCAGGCAGATCTCTGTGAGTTCCAGTCCAGCTTGGTCTACATAGCAAGTTCCAGCCCAGCTGGGGTTACAGGGAGACACTTGTCTCAAAAAGACCAAAAACAAACAAACAAAAAACCATTGGAAACCTTGTTTGTAATGCACTAACTTCAGAGTAGTCTAACCAAAGCTCTTTAATCCAGATCTCTTGGGATTTTGACCATAACCTGCCTGGAATTATGAACAAAATATGTGTGTGTGTGTGTGTGTGTGTGTACATGTAGTGTGTGGTGTATGTGGTATGTGCGGTGTGTGTGTGTGGTGTGTGGTATGTGCGTGTGTGTATGTGGTGTGTGCAGTGTATGTTGTATGTGTGTTGTGGTGTGTGGTGTATGTGGTATGTGCGGTGTGTGTGTGTGGTGTGTGGTATGTGTGTGTGCATGGTGTGCGTGTGTGTATGTGGTGTGTGCAGTGTATGTTGTATGTGTGTTGTATGCATGTGTGTGTTGTATGTGGTGTGTGTGTTGTATGCATGTGTGTTGTATGTATGTGGTGTGTGTGGTGTGTGCACCTGTGTGTGGTGTGTGTGTTGTATGCATGTGTGTGTTGTATGTATGTGGTGTGTGTGGTGTGTGCACCTGTATATGTGGTGATTGTGTGTGTATGTGTACATTTTCTCCTTCTACTACCACATGGATCCCAAGGATCGAACTCAGGTCACCAGGCTTTAAGGAAGCACTTTTACCCACTGAGCCATCATCTCACCACCCCCAAGTTCTGTTTTGTAAGATCATATTCCCTATGGCTCAATGAGTCAAAAAAGTTGGGTGTAAAATTTTTCCCTTTGCTTGTGTTTGAAATTCCTACAGGCTTCTTGGAGCCACCCCACGCTTCTACCCTCGAGCCCATGGAGACCCGTACCCCCACTGCCTCCAGTTAGTGTCTGCCTGGACACTAAAGTTCCAGTCCACTTTGAAAATTCTCCTCAACCCCATGTTCTCCCCTGGACAGCTGTGGCAAGGACCAGTGGGTCCTTCCGGAGGTAGGTGCAATAATCAAGATATCAGGAGGGTCACAGACGAATGCACTGTGCAACCCAGATTCGAATGGGGTCTTGGTCAGTTTAATGGCTCCAGTGTGAGGATTGTGTGGCAGCAACTGGGAGACCTGTGTTCTAGGTCTGACCCATCACTTCTGGGGTCCTCATCTGTTTTTCTCATCTCTAAAGTAGAGGGAGGTGACCTCGAACCTCTGGATGGTTGCTTGGCAACCCACCAGCACTGACAGGCCATGGAACTTCCTGATTGGTGCTGGGAAGTGGGAACTGTCTTGCACTCCCCTTGGCAGATTATCATTAGGGAATGGAACAAGATATCCCTAGACTTGGCTGAGAAAGCAGAGCCCACTGCCCACCCACTTAGGAAGAATTACCCCTGAGAGAAAAGAGGGCAGTGACTCTGACACCCCAAGAGACCTTGCTGAGGTAATGAGAGAAATTGAGACCCCTGCTGGAGGCTTTCCAGGGATGAGAACGCTCAGAGCCTGGGTGACAGGTGGCACCCTCAGGGGAATGGCTTCTTGCCCATCTCTGGAAGAGTTGGGGGGGGGGGCCTGGCGTGAAGAGATAGAGCCATCCCACCTTTAGCTGCTGCAGTTGTTAGGCCAGAACTGGAACTTGAGCCACCTCAGCTGCTGGCGACTCTCCTGGCTCCATTCTTCTCAACTCTCTCTCCACCAGCTCTTAATCCCGAGCCAGTGAGCAGAGCAGGGTAAGGACCCAGGGATGCTGAGAGTGATCCCTCCAAGGAACAGACCCAGTTCTTACAGGCCCACCCTCCACTCCCACCCTCTCTTATCACCCCATCCCTCTCCACTCCCCAATGATTACAGAACAGGCACAACATCAGTATAGAATATTCTCTATAAAAGTTATAATGAGCCTGAGGGAGGGGTTGGGGGTATGGGGTACAGTGGTGGAAATCACAGCGTCTGTCCCAGCTCAGCACAGGGAGAACCAGTAGAGGCTGAGGCAGTAAACAGACAAGAAGAGTAAGAAAGGCCAGTGCCTGGGGCTCTGAGAAAGATGAGTCGGCACTTGGGGGTGGCCCCAGACTCGGGCCCAGAAAACAAGAAGAAAGCTGTGGTGGTGGGAAAGGAGCTGCCTCCTTCACACCCCAGAACTGGGTGTGTATGGATGGAGCCCTCACGCAGATAGACTAGAGAGAGCTTAGTAAACTCTCTCCCCTGCCCAGTCCAGGGCACCTGGGAGGATCTGGAGGCTGTGGCATGCTCCCTGCTTTCCAAGCTGGAGTCACAGAGGAGGGGGTCCACTACTAACAAGGAAGAGGGTATGGATGTGAATACACATGCATGTGGCTCTTGAGAGGCTCGCCCACCTCAATGGTTTTGGTGTGATAGAAAAGCTCTGAGGACACACTTAGGACCTCTGAGCTGGCCTGGTGTCAACACCACCACAGAGCTGCAAGCACAGTGAACTCTCAGTGCTCCATGATCCATGTGGAATCATGAGGCAGCCCAGGCCCCTTCAGGCCTTGAGGGAAATCCAGGCCAACCCCAACATACACACACACACACACACACACACACACACACACACACACACACAGCCCTGGGGGCCTGAGTACAGTCAGCAATTCAGAGCCTGTACATCCTCCAGTGTCCCTCTCACAGAACTTTTCCACACTGGGCCCAACATTGACTGTGTCTAGCCTCTGTCTGTCTGGGCCTGGGAGACTTGGAGGCAGCTAGTAGATGCCATTCTCCAGCTAAATGGGCCTACCAGGCCAGGGGGCCACAACACTGGCTCTAGCACCTTTCATCTGCCCCCCCCCGGCTCTCTGGCAGCACAGTGGAGAAGGGTTGGGCTAAGGAAGACAGGCTAGGCTCCCAGAATGAGCTGGGAAGGGTGCCAGTTACTCCAGCCCACCCCAGCGTCTCTTTCTAGCTGAGGACATGGCCAGTGGGTGAAGGAGAGAGAAACTGGCCTTTTTGTGGGAGTGGGGAATGTGCTGGGAACTGAAAGGCCAGGCATTTGGCTGAAGAGTCTGGTTGGGGAACCTCCTTTCTGTGATATATAGGGGAGAAGGGTACCCAAACTCTTCCCTTATAGTAAGTAGGAAGCAAGTAAGTTTACAGCCTGAGAAAGAACACGAACCCCACCAAGAAAGATTGGGGAGAATATGTGAGACATGTGATGTACCTGAGACAGGTTGTGTCTTCCCCTCACCCCACTTCTGATCCACCTCTGATATCTTCTAAGCTCCAGGGCCAATCAGCCCCTGACCTCTCTCTGGGGCTGGCCTTCCACAAATCCTCTGGTAATTCAAGGCTTCTCAATGAAGGTGGCCCTAAAATCCCTCAGAACTGGCGTGTGTTCCTTCAGGCCACACTCAGCTTCAGGGTATGGACACGATTTCAAGGGAGTGTGACTCTTGCTTCTAGGGAAAGGACTTCAGGGCTGGCAACTGTGAGGACCTCCTGGCCCCACCATGGGTTATGGCAACTTGCAATTTACTTTGGTCTGAGGAGAGGCATTCCTTTTATCTGTGGAGGAAGAATCAGACAGAACCTAGCTTTAGAAGACAGCCTTTGAAGACCTCATTTCCCTCTCTAAGTCCAGTCACTTTGATGACAGCCTCCCATCTCTTGGCAGATTGATGGTCAGGGATGGGGGATACTGACTCCCCCAGTCCCTTAATTGTGAGCAGACTGCTTCCCCATAGCCACCCCTATCCCAGGTACTTAGGGGAAAGGCCATAGATAGCAAATGGAAGGGCAATGTTTGCTGGACTCATGGGATGCTGTGGGGAAGGGAGGGGAGGGTTTGGCCAATGAGAGGGCTGTTATAGTGACAAGCCTTGGATAGCTACAATGGCTTTTTAAAAAAATACAATTGTGTCTCTAGACGGTTTGCTGTTAGACCTGTTGGGAGTAGGGCTTGAGAACAGCAGGTAAAAACATTTCTGCCTTGAGGGTATGAGCAGTTGAGGAGACCTGCTGGCTACCACACCCTCCATCTCAGTGCAGTTACATTCTCCCAGTTTCCAGAGCCACCCAAGCCCAAGATCAGGCCATCTTAGCACTAAGCAGCAGCAGGGCATGGGTTGAACTTTAACCCTTGAGCCTCCTTGTGTCCATCTGTTTACACTGGGGGTGGCTGGGCTCTAAAACATCCGAGCTGTGGGGCTGGGGATGCAGCTCAGTTGGTAGAGCACTAGCTTAGCATGCACAAAGCCCTGGGTTTGGTTCCCCACACTTGGAAGGTAGAGGTAGGCAATTCAGTTCAGGGTCATCCTCAGTGACACAGCAAGTTCAAGACCAACTTGGGCTACATGAGACCCTGACTCAAAAGAGAAAGCTCAGTGGTTAAGAGCACTGGTTGCTCTTGCAGAGGTCTCAGGTTCAGTTCCAAGAAACTCCAGTTCCAGGGATCTGACACCCTCTTCTGGCCTCCTGGGGTTGTATACACAAACCATGCACATTAAAAAAAATCTGTGCCGGCTTGGTGGCACATGAATTACTCCAGAGGCAGAGGGAGGCGGCCCTCTGTGAGGTCAAGTCCAGCCTGGTCTCCATAGTGAAACCAGGCCAGCTGGGGCCTGGGAGACCCTGTCTCAAAAAAACCAAAAAGGAAAAAACAAAACAAAACAAACAAACAAACAACACCCTAGCTATGATTGCTATAACAGTATCTTATCGGCATCAAGACACCCATTTTCCTCACTTGGGTAACCACAGAATTAAGTGTCTTTACATCAACTGTGATTAAAAAAAAATGCCTCCAATTATTAAATTGGCAGCTTTTTTCTGAGGCGGTGATAAATATAATAATGGGGACCTATTGTTATCGATAGCAGCTTAGATTTTATACAGGGCATTGCCCCTTCCATTTCTGAAAAGGTAGATCTGCCCTCCCCCAGACTGGCACTCACAACTCTGTATCCTCCAGGGCGGGTGGGCGCTCCAGCGCCTGCCTCCGCCTCCGCACCGCCCCCATGATCTTCTTTCTCGGCCCCAGGGGCATGCTGATGCTGCGGAGGTCGGGGTCAGAACAAAGCATCAGCGCCTCCAGGTCGATTTTCTCCTGCCGCAGGAGGACCGTGAAGTCCTCCATGTGCAGCGAGGCCAGGAAGGTCTCCAGCGGGCTGGTCTCGGGCTCTAGGTCCTCGTCCAGTCCCAAGTCCAGCTCGTCCCAGGGCAGCTCATCCCCGCAGCTGCGGTCCTGCAAGCTGTTGGCACTGCCCAGACTATCGTCATCCAGGCTGGGAGAGCTCTGCAGCCGACCCCGCGGTGTGCCTGCCCCCTCCAGGCCCGCATCCTCGTGGCCCAACCCCTGCAGCCCGCTGCTCAAGTAGTTCCTTCTGAACATCATGGTACCCAGACCCGGGCGGGTAAACAAGGAGTCGTGACCTGAGTCGGTACTGACCTCCGAGTGAGCAGGCTCGGGGGCCAACGTGGCACGGGAGACGCTGTCCTCATCCGAGAGGAACATGTCCCTGAGAGGGGCGCGGCCCCACTCCTTGGGGTTGGCGTAGGTGCCCTGGCGCACAAACATCACATCGCTGCCCAGCTGCAGGCCTGAGAGCGAGCGGACGCTTTTGCGTCCGTCCTCGGACACCTTGAAGGTGCCCTCGCCGCCCTGCTTGCGCCGCTCCAGCTTCTTTTGGATCTTGGCCTTGCCCTTGGCCGTACCGTGCAACGTGGCCTGCGAGTAGGGCAGGTGGCTGCCCAGCGTCAGGTGCTGCAGCCGGCGGCTCAGGGTGCTGGACGTGAGGCTGGAGAAGCTGAGCGTGTCAGAGCGCTCAGCTAGTTCGCGCCTGTAGCGCCGCTCCATGCGCTCGTGGTGTTTGCGTTGCATCTTGGCGCACTCGCGGATGCGCCGCTCCGCCTCGCGGAAGGCCTTGTCCTTCAGCTTGCCAACCAGCTTAGGGTTGAGGCTGCTTTGCTTGGCTGCGATGGAGTCCAGGTAGCGCACGCACTCCATGTGGCCCTTCATGGCGGCCATGTCCAGCGGCGTGTGGTAGTCATTGTCCAGACACCAGATGTTGGCCCCGAAGGACACCAGGAAGGACAGGCAGTGCAGATGGCCATTGGAAGCTGCCAGATGCAGGGGTGTGTTGCCCCAGATGTCACACTTATCCGGGTCACCCCTGCAGGGACAGCACGTGGGGAGGAAGGATGAGTCCTCTTAGCAAGTCAAACCATGGGGTCTGGCTGGAGGTTTAAGGCCAGAAGAAGGGAAAGCCCCAGATCTTGTGAGCGCCTTGGGCCGCCTGCAGCATACCATCCCCTAAAGGAACCTTGGGACTGAGATCCAGACTTCTGGGACTCCGGGAGACCAGCTGGCCTGAGCCATCCACAGATGCACCAGCAGTACGCCGGGAGGGAACATGGTCCAACCCACAGGGGGCGTGGCGACCTGGAAGGCGGGGCTGGGGCGGGGCCTTCCCCCGGAGAACTGAGGGCTGGGAATTTCAGGGGATAAATATTTGATGCTCAGAGAGAAAGGAGTGAATTATTCATGGGCCCTGCGGGGAGCTGGCCCAGAGAGGTGGTGGGCGAGGCCTGAGTCTGGGTCTCTAGGCAGGTTCGGTAGTGAATATAGCCACGTGTTATAGGGTAACTGGACAAGAGGGTGGTGTGCATTCCGCCCAAGTCTGAAAGAGTGTGAGAGGGTGCATGCTGGCTTGTAGTGGGCACCGCCATGTCTGTAGGGAGCAGGGCCAGGCCTGGCAACGCCAGTGTTAGAGCAGGTGTTGGGTCTTGGCCTGGGCCAGGAGGGGACTGTGGGGGCAGCCAGGACTGGAGAGGAAGAGGGCTGGCAACCTGGTTGTATTGCCCTCCCTTGTTGAAGCGGCCACATCTTTGGGAGCCCTATGAGGCCCGGTGACTAGGCCCCCTCTAGTAGCCCCCTCTAATGCCCTCCATAGCAGACTCTGCCCCCCAGTGCAAGTCCTGCTGGCTCCTCTACAATTCTTGCCTCTCTCTCTAGGTTTAGCACAGGGCCTCTGCCCCATACTAATGAGGCCACAAGGCCAGCTCAGGCTGGAGGAAGAATAACTCCCTTGTCTCAACATCTCTCCCACACCCCTCTGCTCAGCCTCCCCTACTAGTTGCCAAGCCCTGTAAGACAGCGTAGGGAAGGGTGCTCAGCATCGTTCCCATCCACTGAGCACCAATGTTTCCTCCGTAGAATTTGAGGGGTTTAGAGCACCAAAGGCACGCCTCCCCACAGACCCTTTCATGAGACTCCCATGAGTCTCTCTGATGGAGGGACAGGGGGACAGTACCACTGTCAGTGCTCTAACCACTTCAGCTGTCTAATCTCAGACTGTTCCCACCTGCTGCTAGGCGGAAGTAGCAGTCACAGAAGGAGCTTTTCCCCTACCCACCATATGTTCAGGCTGTAGGCACTCCCAATACCAAGTCCTGCTCAGTCCCTGCCCCAGCCCTTTTCCCCCAGAGCCTGGGACATTCATGTGAACCCTCCTGGGGCATCCTTTTCCTGTCCAAGTCACACTGGTATCCAGGCCAGTCCTAGCAAACTGTTGGTGGGAAAGATATTTTCCAGTAATGTAATTTAGTTCTCCATCCTCCATCCCACTCCAGTGACCCTGGATCCTACATTGCTTGACTCCTCCTTCAAACCCCTGAACTCTGTACCCACCCTCCCCCTCAGGACAACTCCAGAGGGAAGATGGGGGTGGGGAAAAGCCCTTTCTGCACAGCATGATCTCCCATTACTGGGTCCTGCAGCGTGGGAGGGATGCAGAGAGTTAATCAGGTGGCTGAACCAGTGACATTTGGTACTGTGGACAGTGCCCATAAATCCCAGGCCTGAGCAGGGGTGAGGGAAAGGTCAATGTGAGACCCAGCCTGTGGAAGCCATGGATGCTTTGGCTCCTAGGCTGGGGAGTGGGCAGTGAAGGTCCCTTCTTCCTCGTCATGTTTTCTAGGCTCTTGGAGACATCTCAGTTTTCTCTCTGTCTCCCACTTACCCTTTATTCTTGATTCCATGTGCCCCTAACCTAGAAATGCTTCCCATCTTTGCCCTCCTACAATCATGAATCCCCCAAATCCCACTTCCTTTCCTCTCAGCCCCACATTCAGGTCACAAATGTCACATGCCTCAGCTGATGCTCCCTTTCAAGTGTGTGGTGTGTGTCTCCCTCTCTCCGAGGCATGCCAGGCTCCACCACCCCACCTTAGGGTGGAGGGGAAGAGAGCAGTTCAGGGGAGAGAGCAGATAAGCCATGAGGTCTGGAGGACTGGGCTCCAGGAGGTTCATCTTGGTCCCCTTTTGGCTGAATAAAGGGAATACTCACCCACGGCTCACGATGAGTCGCAGTGATTCTAGGTTGCCATGGTAGGCAGCCCAGAGGGTGGGGGTCATGCCGTCTTCGTCAGGGGCATTCAGTTCTTTCCGGGTGGCCTCCTTGAGGAGTTCCAGGTAGCCATCCCGGGCAGCCCGGTGGTACTGGTCGTTCATGGCGTCAGACTTGGACGGGGCGGGCAAGGGGCACAGGGAAATGTCCCCCGAGGGGGAGAGCAGTGGGGTTAGGGCTGAGGCATGGGGTTGAGGGAGGGGGCCGGGCAGGGGCCAGGGTTGCCAGCCCCTGCTGCCGCAGATGGAGGGTGCGGAGTGCCAGAGCCGCGGCTAGGCTAGTGGGACATCTGAGCCGCTCACCGGAGAGGGCGGGGCGGAGGGGGGGATCTCCAGCTGCCCAGGGAGGCGCCCCGGGGCTTCCCCTGGGTCCTAAACGCCATGCTTCTTGGCACACAGGGGTGACTCGAGTGAAGCCTCGCCCTCTCTCCTTCTCTCCCTCTGTCTCCCCAAAAGTGCCCACCCCAGTGTTGCGCCCCTTGAGGCCTAGTTTGGTTGGGGACATGTGGGAATTTGTCCTCAACAGAGCTTCGGGCGCTGCGCTTCCTGATTTCTCCACTCGTCAAAAGAAATGGGCCAAGGGCTGGAAAGGGGTGTCTCGAGGTAGGGTAGAGAAGCAGCCCTGATTCCAGGGACAGTGGGCCTAGAGGAGTATAAGGACTCACCGCAGGACCATCCACGAGCAGGACACGGCGGGCCATCCCCCTAGCGTGGGGTTTCTGGAACTCTCCAGCAGGGGGCGCGGGAGGACTGCAAGCCGGCTGTGCGCACGGCTTGGGAACTTGGGTACAGCATCCCGACTTTGAAGCATCCAGCCAGCACCGAGGACAGCAGTAGTGGGAGTAAAGGAAGAAGGAACTTTGGATCACTCTGAGGGCAGGTGGGGAACAGGGGAGCTGGTGTCCCTGTCTCAGGGCAGCGAGCGAGATCCAAGGTATAGGCTGAGGCAAAGCTGCCAGGGCGTCTAGGTGCTGCTGGGCACTGGGAAGGGGTCTCTTGGGCATCAGCTCCGTGGACTCTGACCCGCACGATCGCTGGGTACCCGGTTGCGGTGGATGCTGGAGGCAGAGGACCCTCTGGATGCCGCAGTGTGGGACCACGCCCGAGCCTGGCCGCGTCATGGGTGGTGGGGAGGGAGAATCTTAACAGGTAAATATAAATCTCACCTTATCTGGCTTCCCTAAATTCAGCTCGGAGAAAAGATGGATCATGTGAGTGGGACTGAGAGGTTTATGGAGCCCAGGTCTTGCGGCTGTAAATCACTCTGCCCTCTCGGGTATAAAGCACCCGTCCAGCCCAGCGTGGGAGAGAGAAGACGCTCACCACCCCCTGACCCCCAACTCCGTGGCGGCCCCGGGCCCAAGCAGGTGCGTCCCTCCCCCCACCCCCAGGGGACTGTGGGATTTGGGAAATGGCACCTCGGACCGGGTCTGACCTGGTGCCAAAGCTTCCCTTTTCTTTCCCGTGGCTTTCTTGTCCAATTAGAGAAATGCAAGCTCTGAGTTGACCTGAAGTCCTGTCCTCACTGTTTCCCCCCCACCCCCCGCACAGTGATCCTTTCAGCCTCTGCCAGTCGCCCCCACCATGTCGGAGGAACTGGTCCCGCACCCCAATGAGAGCCTGCCGGCGCCTCGGACCGGCCCCCGTGAGGTGTGGAAAAAAGGCGGCCGCCTGCTGTCTGTGCTGCTGGCGGTGAACGTGCTGTTGTTGGCCTGCACGCTCATCAGTGGAGGCGCCTTTAACAAAGTGGCCGTGTATGATACCGACGTGTTCGCGCTGCTCACAACCATGATGCTACTGGCTGCTCTGTGGATAATCTTTTACCTCCTCCGCACTTCGCGCTGCCCGGATGCGGTGCCCTATCGGGATGCGCATGCTGGGCCCATCTGGCTCCGAGGTGCCCAGGGAGTTGGGGACAAGGGTGGGGTGGGCCCATGCTTGTGGAGAACCTGCAAAGTGTGAGTTTGAGTAAACAGGTGGGAAGCTCTCTGGGAGGAGTGATGTGACTCATGGTGAGAAGAGTCCCCTGGGGTGAGATGCAGTGGGAGGGATAGAAAGAGGGAAAGGGGTCCTTGAGGATGAAGAGAGGGATGAAGGAGCTTCTTTGTCTTGTCTAAAGATTGGAGAGAGAGCAGGGTGTGGTGGCTCACTCCTTTAATCCCAGTACTTGGGAGGCAGAGGCAGGCAGATCTCTGTAAGTGCAAGGCCAGCCTGGTCTACAGGGAGACCCTGTCTCAAAAAGACCAAAAAAAAAAAAAAAAAAAAAAAATTGGAAAGGGGGGGTCAAATGCTTATAATGAAAAAAAAAAAAAAAAAAAAAAAGAAAGAAAGAAAAACAGACCACAGCAGCTGGCAGAGTCCATCCAGAACCCTTCTCCTTACCTGTTCAGTCTCTAGGAGGAGGACACTGGATGTCCATCCATCTTCCTGGTCAATCATGCACTCATCTTCCATCCACTTTCAGCCCTTCAGTTTGCCAGTTCACCATCCATTCATCCTTCCCTCACCCTCGCCACTTATCCATTCACCCATCCATCCAATGACCTGTTCATTCATGCCCTCATCCTTCCACCCACCCACCCATTCATCTATTCATCCATCCACTCATCCACTCAGCCATCCTTCCTTCCTTCACCTATTCCCTACACCGGTCCATCTAGCCACACATCTTCAGGCCTATCCTCCACCCACCAAGCCTTTCCCCTTCTTCTCTGACAACATCCCCCTGCTGGCCCTGGTTCCAGGTGGGCTGGTGCTGTTTGGGATCTGCACTCTCGTCATGGACGTCTTCAAGACCGGCTACTATTCCAGTTTCTTTGAATGCCAGTCAGCCATCAAGATCCTGCACCCCATCATTCAGGCTGTGTTTGTTATTGTCCAGGTGGGAAAGAGCCAATGCTTGGCAAGGGAAAAGAGATCTGAGCCCCATACCTTCTTCCACCCTAGGGATTAAGAAAATTGAATCGGACCGTAGTAGGAATCACATGAGCCCATAAACGTAGAAGTAGCATCTAAATGTGAGCTTCTACTTAGGGGTGCTGCAATTGTTTCAACCCGAGTGGTACCAGGAACTAAGACCTAGGAGGTGCAAGTTGTGACAGCTGGTCCTGTCTGTTAAACCTGATGTTCCCTCCTTGGATGTCCATGGAGGGCAGCAGTCTCTGCCCAGGGTCATACTGTGGCCACCATCAGGGTTGTAGCTTTTTTGTGTGTTTGATATTTGTTTAAGAGTTAGGGCATCCTGTAACTAGGATTTTTTTCAGACAAGTTCAACTTCTTTTCTTTTCCTTTTTTTTTTTTCTTTTTTGACCGCACATTATGCAGCCCAGGCTAGCCTTGAACTCCTGATCCTCTGGCTTCCATTCCCAGCCACCAGCACACACACCTGGCTCTCATTTTCTTTTTTAATGTGTTGCGTAAAGATCATTATGAAAGATCTGATTGAGCTGAGGCAGGACTATTCTTGTATGAGACCAGAAGAGAGCCTCACCTTCTAGTACAACCAGGATGGCCATGGGATGGCGCCCTGCCTTGCAGCATCCCCCTGCCGCCCAGATGTCCACAGCTCCACATATGTTTGGTTATGAAACTTAAAGTAGTTTTAGTTTTTTACATTTCATAAGCTTAAAGAATAGGCTGGGAAAATGAACACACAAATACCCCCACATAGATAGCTTCCATTGCAGGAATTTAGAGGCAGTGAGATGAGGGCAAGGCCTTTAAGGCCAGTAAGGAAGAGGATGATCAGGGAATGTGAACAAAAAGGTGGAAAAGTACCAGAGGAACTGGGCATGGTGTTACTTGTCTGTCATCTCAGCAATTCAAGACCATCCTTGGCTACACAGTGAGCTGGATGGAGGCCAGCCTAAGCTAGAGTGAGATGCTGTCTCAAAGAGAAAAAAAAATCACCAAACACTCTTTCTACCTTGAGCAAGACCTAACCTGAGGCTGACCTTGCTCCTGGAAATAAATAACTTGGTAGTTAAAACTTTTTTTTTCAGTCTTTTTGAGATAGGGTCCCTCTGTAGCCCCAGCTGGCCTGGAACTCACTATGAAGACCAGGCTGACCTCAAACTCACAGAGATCTGCCTGCCTCTGCCTCCTGAGTGCTGGGATTAAAAGCATGTGCCACCATGCCTGGATTGGTAGTCAAAACTTTTGCCCCTCTATCGCTCACCACCCCTCCAAACTCATCAAGATGAAAGTGTCTCACAGGTTACATTTTCCCAACCTTTAAGGAACAGAGAGACACTATTTTTATACAAGCTGCACCATAGAATAGAAAGGTAAATTATTCTCAGTCTCCTTTGTAAAGCTAAAATAAACCCAGTCAGTTAGTATAAGGGCTCCTGGGGTAGAGAGAACGTCATACTGGGCGTGAGTGTGGACTGGGTGGGATCTAGAGGTTAGCCCTTGTACACAATACTGAGCCTGCCCCCTCTCTCTATGCAGACTTACTTTCTCTGGGTCTCTGCTAAAGACTGTATACATGCCCACCTGGACCTGACCCGGTAAGAACCGCAGCTCAATGTCTGTGCTCCCAGGAGCTCACCTGGCATGATAGAAAAGGCTTGGCATCCTGGGTGCGGCTCTTTTCTTTAATTCCTGGGTGGGGTTTCAGCCACCCCTTCCTCTTTGTCCTCCTGCTTTCTGTTACCTGTGCTGTGCCCTTTCCCCTAGAAGGGCCTGAGTCTCTGGACACCTGTTTGTCCTCTCTTGGATGGCAGTCCTTTAGGATGAGCCTTCCTTCCAAGCTCAGCTCCCATGTTCACTGGGGTCTGTTTAATCCCATCTCTCAGGAGGACTCCCAACCCCCCTGCCTTGCCAGGAGTCAGAGACTCATGAGCCTTTTATTCTCCCCATCCCCACTCTGAAACAGGTGTGGGCTCATGCTCACCCTTACCACCAACCTGGCCATCTGGATGGCTGCTGTCGTGGATGAGTCTGTGCACCAGGCCCACTCTTACAGCGACTCTCTTGGCAACACCAGTCACACCCGCCTCTCCCCTGACCGTGAGTTCCCTGTTAGCCCTGGCCCTGTGGCTGCCAGGCCTTCGATGGGAGCTTTGTGCATTTATAGTCAGTCAACCATGCCTTTGCAAGGGTGCGGAGATAAAAGTGGAAGCCAGGGGCCTCCTCCCACTGCAGGCTGTCTCAGAAGTGTGGGTATAGGTGACAAGGAACAGGACTGCTGGGTATTTCCTCATCCTTAAGGGTGCAGTCAGGTCTCCATCCCACCAAGAAGGAAGCCCGAGCTTCCAGAAGAAAGGGCAAAAGTGATCAAACTAGGGGTGGAGAAGGGAGGTGAATGGCTCAGACTTTCCAGCCTGGGAAGAAAGGTGAGAAACCATTCCAAAACAGCAACAGTCATAATGACATAATTTGGACACATGGCTAACCTCAGCACTAAGTTCCTTAAATATTCTATTTAACCCTCACAACTTCCCTTTAGAGATGTGTACTAATAATATTCCCATTTACACAAAAGCAAAAACTAACAACAGGGAGGTTAAGTCACCTTCCCAAGATCACAGAACCTGAAATTGAAACATTCAGATCCATCAATAAGAAAGAGCAGGGTCTACAGTCCCCTGGTCTAGTTTTCTGGATTTCTCTAGGGATCCTTCCATCTGTGACCAGACTAGATAACTAAGGCACCTGCACACACACAGACCTCCACTGTCACAAGGGAGGTGTCAAGAATAGAAAGTATGACCCTAGCTCACAGGGAGACCCCAGCCCAGCAGGACTAACAAAAGTTCACTTGGCATATCAGAGGATCCTGAGGGCAAAAAGCCCAGGAGATGTGGCCATGTTAACAGATGGGACTGCAAAGTGGAAGAGGTCCATTAGAGAGGGACATGCCGTAGGACAAGCCTCAGCTTCTTCAGCCCCAGATCCAGCTGAGATAGTTCTGGGGCCAAAAAAGCCATTTGCTGAGACCCAAAGTATCCTAGCGCATTCTAAATCCAAGTCAAGATTCCTCTCGGTGTCATATAATCCAAAGTACCATGACAGAGGTCTGGACACAGGCTGGAGCTCTGGCAGTCAAATGCTGGAGGAGCTGTAGGGAAGAATGACTTAAGGGTTCCCAAGAGAGCCACCTTCTAAAAGGACAAGAGCCCACCCATCTCAGGGAACCAAAGCTTATTATGGATGGGGAGAGACTGGAGAAATGGTAGTGGGCAGATCTGTGGTTCTGATTTTTTTAAAGATTGTGTATGAGTATGTATGTGTTTATGTGTATGCACATTTGTGTGTGTGTGCATGTGGAATTGTGGGTATATGCGTGTGTGTGCATGTGAGTGTGTAAAAGCCAGAGGTTAATGTTTGTTGTTATTATCAATTGTTTCTCTGTCTTACCATTGTTTGTAGGTTTTAATATTTATTTTATTTTATTTATTTTTTATTTTTTGGTTTTTTTTTTTTGAGACAAGGTCTCCCTGTAGCTCCAGCTGGCCTGGAACTCACTATGTAGACCAGGCTGGCCTCAATATCACAGAGATCTATGCCTGCCTCTGTCTCCCGAGTGCTGCGATTAAAGGCTTGTGCCACCATACCACACTCTATTTTTATTTTTATATGTATAAATGTTTTGCTTGCATGTATGTTTGTGCACCATATGTGTGTCTGGAAGGAGAAGGAGGAGGCCAGAAGAAGATGTCAGATCCATTAGAACTGGAGTTATAGACAGTAGTTGTGAGCTACCATGTGGGTGCTAGGAACTGAATCTAGGTCCTCTCCAAGAGCAGCGAATGCTCTTAACTGCTGAGCCATCTCTCCAGTCCCATTAGTTTGGTTTTGTTGTTGCTGTTGTTTTGAGACAGGGTCTCCCTACATAGCCCTGGCTGGCCTGGAATTTTCTATGCAAACCAGGCTGGTCTTGAACTCAGAGAGATCAGAGTGCCTCTGCCTCCTGAGTACTGGGATTAAAGGTGAGCACCACCACACTCAGCTGGTTTTTTGAGACAAGTTCTCTTACGGAACCTGGAGCCCACGGCTTCGGTTTGATTGGCTGGCCAACCTGGCTCCACCTCCCCACACTGGGATCACAGACATGTGCCACCACACCAGGCTTTTTACATGAGTGCTAGGGGTCGAACTTAGGTCAGTATGCTTGCACAGCAAGGACTTTACTGACTGAGGCATCTCCCCAGCCCCAGAAAAAAATTTTTTTAAATTGAACCCTGATGTATCATGTAGTGTCTGGCACAATAATTATGGAGTGGATGAAGATGCCAGGCCCTGTGAAGGCCTTTGGACTGTAGTGGTGGCTGGCAGAGAGAACCCCTGCCCTCACTTGTCACAGTCTAGAAGGGGAGGGCAGAGCCCAGCAGTGTGTCCCTCTCTCCACAGGAGAAAGTGCAGGGAGCACAGGTGGAAGAGACCCATGTCCCTGCAGCACGGCCATCTGCCAGATCTTCCAGCAGGGCTACTTCTACCTGTATCCCTTCAACATCGAGTACAGCCTCTTTGCCTCCACTATGCTCTATGTAATGTGGAAGAACGTGGGCAGGCTGCTGGCCTCCACCCAAGGCCACGGCCACACACTATCCCGGGTCAGCCTCTTCCGGGAGACCTTTTTTGCCGGCCCAATCCTAGGGCTGCTCCTCTTTGTGGTAGGGCTGGCTGTCTTCATCGTCTATGAAGTCCAGGTGAGCGGAGAGAGAGACCACACCCAGCAGGCCCTAGTTACCTACTACAGCTTCAATATCGTCTGTCTGGGGCTCATGACCTTGGTCAGCCTGAGTGGCTCAGTTATCTACCGTTTCGACCGCCGGGCCATGGACCACCATAAGAACCCCACACGTACCCTGGACGTGGCCTTGCTGATGGGTGCCGCCCTGGGCCAGTATGCCATCTCCTACTACTCTATCGTAGCTGTCGTGGTGGGCACACCCAAGGACCTCCTGGGGGCACTCAACTTGGCACATGCTCTGCTCGTGATCGCCCAGCACACCTTCCAGAATGTGTTCATCATCGAGAGCCTCCACCGGGGACCACCTGGGGCTGAACCTCATGAGATGCCCCCCAAGGAGCCTTGCCAAGGTCTCACCTTCAACAATCTGGATGCCCTCCATACCTTACCTGCCTGCCCACCCACTCCCAGGCTGGTCAGCCCCAACCCAGAAAGTTCTCAGGAGGCAGTGGCCATCATTTCAGCCCCTAGGTGCCACTGGCGACGTCGGTGCCTAAAAGACATCTCTTTGTTTCTCCTACTCTGCAATATCATTGTGAGTAGCTGGGAATGAGGGTGAGTGGGGGGGGGGTAGAGGAGACCGAGAATGGATGCTGGGGGTGGGAGTTGTTCACTTAACCCTCTCTGTCTTGCCCTGGGCCTCACTCCAGAATCTTACACAGGAACAAGTTCAGAGAGTGCTAGCTGCAGCTTCATGCTAACAACATTTCAGGGCACTCAAACAGAATGCAGCCCCAGCCCTCTGGCATGTAAGCAGCCAATGGAGGGCTCCCAGGGAAAACTGACTTGGGGGCTGGGCAGAGGTGAGAGGGAGCTGAAAGCTGATGTGGAGGGTGAGGGCGTGACTACCAAGTGGGAGGTGTGACCATTCTTGGGATCTTGTGACCTGCCTGTTTCTCGGAATAATTGGAACACCATCAGGAAGTAGCAGAGATCAGCATAAGTGTGAGCAGTCTGGCAGGAGGTAGCTAGGGCAGGATACAATGGAGGGCTTGGCTGGGAAGAGGGGTATGTACGACAGCTGCCTCCCCAATGACTTGGTAAAGCCAACTACTAAAAGTGACAGCCTTTACCCAGTTAAAGTATGTTCCCTGCATGGAAATACCCCAGAGCAGAAACCCTCATAATGAGGGGACACCCCCAAGGAAAAACATTCCTAGCATAGCTACACCCAACACAGCAACACCCAATGTAGACAGGCTCTCCAGCATAGAAATCTCTGATATAGAAACATGTACCTGGGGAGACAGAGAGTCTCTGGGTCTGCAGGTTCCATGTCCCAGGATTCGCCCAACCTTCAGGTGGAAAATATTAAGGGAAAAACTTCCATCCTTATTGAGCACATAGATTTTTTTCTTGCTGTTAACCCTTAAACAGTACAAGATATCAACTATTTACTTAAAATTTGCATATTGTGAATACAGTAATCGAGAGATAATTTCACATATACAAGTGGATCTATGTGGGACTGGAGAGATGGTTCAGTGGTTAAGAACACTGACTGCTCTTGCAGAGGACCCTGGTTTGATTCTCAGCACCCATGTGGCAGATAACAATGGTTTAACTCTGCTGGGCATGATGGCACACGCCTTTAATCCCAGCAGAGGCAGGTGGATCTCTGTGAGTTCAAGGCCAGCCTGGTCTACATAGTGAGTTCCAGGCCAGCTAAGGCTACAGAAAGAACCTATCTCAAAAAGACAAAAACAAAAAACAAAACAAAACAAAACAAAAAAAAACTAATGATTTAACTCCAGTTCCAGGGGATCTGACACCCTCTTCTGATGTCTGCAAGCATTGCATGACACGGGTGCACTTACACACATGCAGGCAATACACTCATATGCATAAAATAGAAATAATAAAAAACAAGAGGATGTATGTAGGTTATATACAAATATCACATCATTTTATATAAGGGACATGAACATCCCAGCATGCTGGTACCCTGAAAAGATTGCTTCTAGGGCAAGTAATGGAACCAAGCCCCTATGTACACTAAGGGATAACTGAGCATCTCAAGCAGGAAAAAAAAATCTCTGGGGCTGGAGAGATGGCTCAGTGGTTAAGAACACTGGTCGTTCTTGCAGAAGACCCAGGTTCGAATCCCAGCACCCACATGGCAGCTAACAACTATCCATAACTCCAGTCCCAGGTTATCTGACAGCCTCTTCTGACCTCCGTGGGCATTGCACGACACAGGTGCACTGACCTACATGCAGGCAACACACGCATACACATAAAATGAAAAAAAAATCTCTAATGAAATTTGGCTCAATATAAAAACATCCACTTTGACTATTCCCTCCAGTAGAAGAATATCCCTAATATTTTAGAAGATTCTTTACTGCAGGCATATCCTCAGGCTGGGAATATGACCCATGCAGATGTCAATAGTCAATTTTAGCTTAAAGAAAAAAAAATGTGGTCACCAAGTTTAGCCTTACTGGGAGAAACAGTAAGGCTCAAAACCTTATTGTGTCTGGGGCCCACATTGGTGTATGGACTCCCTGCTTGGGCCCCACTCTCACTTTCCACCAGTCCTGGCTTAGAAGCTAAGAGCAACCTTCCAAGAAGCTGTTCTTGCTCCAAGTATCTGAGCCTGAGTCTCTTCTGGCAGCACCATCTCTCACTTTCTAGGATGGAAATGGACTCAGAAGGGGGCTGTAATGTTCTCAAGAATGAAGTGAATTGGGGTAGGGGTGAGGCTAGCCTTAAAGGCTTGGTCCTTTGTCTCATATCCCACACCCAAAAGGCCTGAGCTCCAACCTAGAGGTGAAGCAGGATTATAGCCTCTGACCCCTCCCACATCTGGAAGGGTGCAAGTGGGTAGAACTGGAGGAGGGTCGGCGTAGGATAGCCTTCTGGCTGAGCCCTGAACCTCCTTCCCTGGGCCTGATTGATTCTCCCACCAACACCCAAGCACACATCTGGTCAGCTGCTGATTTAGCTGTTTGGGCCAATTTCTTATGTCATCTATTGAAGCTATCTGGCCTGGGTCTGGATAAGAAGATAGGAGGGGTGACCGCAGATGGATCCCTGGCCTAGAAGTGGGCCAGTTTAGTCAGGCATACTTTCTGAGCTCCTTAGAGAGTGCCCGGCCATGTCAAGATGTTAGAGCTCACCACTGCATGACAGCCCTCAGTGTCCACCAAAGTAGAAGTCTGGGAGCCCACAGTCATGCCCAGCAAAAAAAAAAAAAAAAAAAAAAAAAAAAATGACAGCAAGTGTACCTTGGGTCGTCTCCTGATGCACGCCTCTCCCCACACAGCTGTGGATCATGCCTGCCTTTGGTGCCCGCCCGCACTTCAGCAACACTGTGGAGGTGGACTTCTACGGCTACTCCCTTTGGGCGGCTATCGTGAACATTTGCCTGCCTTTCGGCATCTTCTACCGCATGCATGCTGTCTCCAGCCTGCTGGAGGTCTACGTGCTGTCCTGAAGTTTCACACAGAGACATAGTGAAGGAACCCCAGCCCCTCTGGGAATGAACCCCAGGCTGGCAATCACTCCCTGCCAGCCCCAGACTGGAATTTTCACAAAAATTTATTTTTCCAGGATGAATTTTTAAATCAAAATCAGGACATGCCCATCTACCCCTATATATATCTCCCTGGGACTTGGGGCAATCAAGGCAGGAAGATCTCTCCCTGCATCATTCCTAGGAGCAGGGTTTAGAAGTGCAGGCTCACCCTAATCCCAACCTTGCAGCCTGGCCAGAGCAGTGTGTGGAGCTGGGAACCAATAAATTTGCAGATCACCCCCTTGTCCCTCACTTCTTGACTCAGCGGCCTCACCTGAGATGGTCACAGGAGAAGAATTTGGTGATCTGAATTAGGAAGATTCAAGGTTTTCAGAATTCACACTCTTTTTTGTTTGTTTTTTGAGACAGGGTCTCTCTGTAACTTCAGCTGGCCTGGAACTCACTATGTAGACCAGGCTGATCTTGCCTTGATCTCACAGAGATCCACCTGCCTCTGGCTCCTGGGTGTTGTGATTGAAAATATGCACCACCACACCTAGCTGAGGTCTCAAACCTGGTGAGCTGAATCTGAGTTGCAGACTCTCTAAACAATGAATAACAGGGTGACTGGGAGGGGCTGGATAGAATTCCCAAGCTACCACCTTCCCCTTTTCCTTATCTTCAAGTGACACACACATACAATCATATTTCTTATGGAACAAGAATAGTTAGGGAGGGCTGATTTAATCTAATGGCCATGGTTTATGAAGAAGAAAACTAAGGCCCATGGTTACAAAGACCCAGAGCCTTTTTACCAACAATAATCATCTTTAAACCCTGTGTGTGCAGGTATGTATTTGTGCATATGTGGGGGGGTATTCATGTACCTGTGTACACATGCACATGTGTCCAAGTGCATGTGAAGATCAGAGGTGAACCTCAGGATCTCTCTACATTGTTTTTGGAGACAGGTTCTCTCAACGGGACCTGGAATTCATCAATTGGGCTAGGCGAGCAGGTCAGTGAGTTCCATGGATCCCTCCTATTCCACTTCTCCTGTGCTCGCATTACAAGTGAACCACCACATCCAGCTTTTTATACAGGTGCTGAGGATCCAACTTAGGTCCTCAGGCTTGTGTAGCAAACACTACCCACTAAGCCATTTCCCCAGCCCTCAAACTTTTTGTTATGAGCAGCAGAGCTTTTGTTGTTAATATAGTGTTAGCATATTTTTTTTATTTTATTTATTATTTTTATTTTATGTGTATGTGTGTTAGGCCTGCATGTAGGTAAGTACACCTGTGTTGTGCAATGCCCGCAGAGGTCAGAAGAGGCTATTGGATCCCCTGGGACTGGAGTTACGGACAGTTGTTAGCTGCCATGTGGGTGCTAGGATTCGAACCCGGGTCTTCTGTAAGAACAACCAGTGTTCTTAACTGCTGAGCCATCTCTCCAGCCCCTGTTAGCATATTTTGAATTGATACATAGTAATTGTAAGTGTGGCATTTCGGTACATGCTTGCAATATGTCATGATCAAATCAGGTAAACTGGCGTATTGATCGCCTCAGATGTAGATCATTTCTTTGTGTACAGAGCATTCAAAGTCCTCTGTTTGCTGTTGTGAAACAGTCAGTGAATTGTCATCAGCCATAGTTATCCTCCAGTGCTGTAAAACACTAGGAGTTATTTCTCCTGCCCATCTGAACTCTAAACCCATTAACCACAAGCTGCAGACTTTTTTCCTCTCAAAATATTTAAGGAATGTCAGGAACCCAACTTCATAACACACGTGCGCGCGCTCTCTTCTGCACCTAGCCTACCTCTAGTTCCCAGGAATTTCCTCTAGTTCTCATGGCATCCTGCAACAATTAGGTTACCCTGGCTTCCTCTGCTTAGGTACCTCTGTGATAGATACTCTAGAACTTCCAACAGCAACCTCACAGAGGAAGATGTGCATCTCAACTCTATTACAAGTTTATTCTTTTGTGAACTTTGTAAAAAGCTCCACTGAAAGAAAAAAGAGGTCATGAAGAAAGAGGGAGAGAGAGGGAGGGAGAGAGAGAGGGAGGGAGAAAGAGAGAGAGAGTTGGGGTTTGTTTGCTTGTTTGTTTGAGACAGTCTCAGGTAGTCTAACTGGCCTCTAATTTCATAGGTCCAAAGACTACCTTGAATTTCTGATGGTCCACCTCTACCTCCCAAGTACTGTGGTTACAGGTGTGCACCATACCTGGCTTTTTTTGTTCATTTTTATTACATTTTTATTAATTTATTGTGTTTGTGTGTGTGTGTGTTGTGTATGTGTGTTACAGTGCTGGAGTGGAGGTCAGTAGACAACTTATAAGAGTCTGTTCTCTCCTTCCACATAAGGGTTCTGAGTATTGAATTCAGGTCACCAGCCTTGGCAGCAAGTGCCTTTACCCATTGAGCCATCTAGCTGATCCCTGATTGTCTCTTTGGGAGAATTGGAGATTGGAGGCACCACAGTTAGAAAAGAAGGAAGATCAGTGGGAGAGAGGGCCAGGCCTGACTGGGCTGGTGACTGCAGAGGGAGAGAGGAGATTTGGGAGTAGAGTGTGGAGCACAGGGGACTTCAGAGGAAAGAGTGCCTGGACCTTGTTAGCAACTTGAGGTCCACAGGTCTAGAGGCTGTGGAGTGTGGGAATGAGGTAGAAGGACGGAGGGGGGTCCAGGAGAGAGGGGATGAAGAGGAGAATGGAAGGGACCTGAGGCCTCCTCCTCTGCCTTTCTGTCCAATTTCCTACCTTGGGTCTTTGCAGTCCCAGCTTCATTTTGGAATTAAGGCAGAGAATGGATCCTTCGAGGGGCTTCAATGTTAGGTTAGCATATATATATTTATATATATATATGTGTGTGTGTGTGTATATATATAATGTATCTATATAAACTATATATACATCTATTTGTGTATATATATATATA